AGCAGTTACAAGTTCTTTAACAGCAGTTACAACACTAGAAGAATCACTGGCGTTGGCCTTTAAAAAGCTGCATCTCGGTAAGAAGGCAGAGCCCACGCTTACAAATCCACCAAGAACAAATTCCAACACGGACATCGCTAGACCTGAGGCCCGCACGGGACACACGGCAGCAGCAACCAGACTCACACCCGAGAGGAGACACGAGGAACCTGAAGGTCTCGGAGTGGCAGGCCCCCATCAGCGTTGCCACCACATGCCCCGCGTCCAAATGAACAGAGCGCCACACACACAGCCCGGGGCTGCTTGTTTCCACGGCGAGGAACAGGAAAGCCTCCAGATGAGCGGGAGAAATCAGAGTTCGCTGGTACTTTTGTTTGTTTTTAAAGGGACATCTTAGCCAGAAAGGAAGAGCAAATTCACTTTACTTGGCTAAATGAGGACAAGTGAATCTTCTGGGCAAATTGTAGGGCAAAAGAGAAATAAGGATAATTAACTTATTCTAAATGAAACCACTCTTAGTAAAGGGTAAAGAAAAAGAATTAAAGTAAGTGAAGTGTGTTTCCTACTAGACTGAGCCCCATCACCAAGTGCGTTCAGGAGGGCGCGCGCCGGAACGCTGGGAGCCCGCACACCGGGCCTGGGCAGAGGTTTCCGTGCGTGCTGGGTGCACGGCTGTGACCTCCGCCACACGTACGCCTGGAGCCGCCTTGAGATGAGGCAATGCGCTGGGTAAAACTGCATGAAATGTTAAACTCGAGGGAGGAGAATGACATGTCTACACTACGGAACCCAGTTACAGAGAATTACGGGCAACACATTAGGAAAGATTAAATTCTACAAACTAGTGAACACTTAAACCCCACAAAGTTATAACTTGAAAAAGAAAGGAGCACAAATTCATAGCAATATAGTCCCAAATTAGAAAAGTGCAAGAACCTTTGCATGAAAAGTCTAAACATTTGCATGAAACACATAAATCACCACACTTTCAAGCAGGAAAAGTGCAGCCTAGTCTTACCTTATTGCTGCAAAAGGCTGGAATAAAACCACTGACTTATAGAAGCAACTTTCACATGTATTTGAACATCAAACACAACACACAATATAAAATAAAAAATAACTAGAACAGAAAAGTTTTCATTCTGACCTTAAAAATCCTGAGCAAATCACTGGATGAAGCCAGATCAAAGGAAGGGCATTCCACCAGCTTGGAGCCATATGTGAAAGGGCCCCAACCACACAGGCCACAGATGGTACACGGCTGGGGGGGCCACGAGCAGATCCCAAACATACGGCAAATAAACTCGCTTCAACTTACGCAGGTAGGACAGTTTGAAAGAATGAATAATTTTGAATACAACTGATGAGATTTTAAATTTGGGACAAATGGTGCAAACTAAAGTGTGCTCACAAGTTTAAGTGCTGAAACCCTTTGGTGTAATAATTTAAATGAAACTAAAATCTCAGTGAGGATACATGCAAAGAAGATAGTTACAACTTTTTATAAAACCATGCAGTGGTTATAAACCAAATTACCTGATTAAGGTCTGAGATATTCGGAAGGAATTTAATCTAGGCTCACAGAATTAATGGCTGTATTTGAAAACATAAACCCTGTAAGTTTATTAAAATGCTCGAAGTCCCTTAATATTCTCCGTTCATCATATAATGAAAGTGCTAAAATTAAATTTTTCACTTTCCTAAACCTTTACTGAAACTTGCCTTTTCATGCGTACAAAGGTGAGGCGGCGTTAAGTTTCCGTAGAAAACGCAGCAGCACTCACGTCTACTTCAAAGCACAGCTGCCAGTTCAGTAATTCCCAAACAAACACTTGTTCCAAAATAAAAGTTTAAAGAAGTTCTCGGGCTTGAACATTAGAAGTCGAAAGCTTCATAATGAAATCCGGCATTTCATTAAATGCACTGATAACTTTTTTCAGGCAGCAACCGAAACAAACATTTAACACAGACGCCTTCAACCTCATGACTTTTGAAGGACACAAGAGCACAGAATATCCAAAAGGCGCTTTTATTGGATATTCTAGTCGGGGACATTCATCACACACAGACACAATGGGATTAAGTGTCAGGAGCAATGGCGAACAAGGAAACGGTGACTCACGGCAACTGCTCACCACTCTCGGTTTAGGGAATACTTCTTTGATTTTTTGACACTTCCAGTTTAGTATCAGCTGTGCTAAGCTACATCTAGGAGTGACAATTAATTTTAGTGGAAATTCACTCCCAGGCTACTTGGAGAGTCATTTGAACAGTTTTGCGTTATTTTACAGGCAATTTTATAGCTCTGTAACGTTCACTTAATCTTGTTCAATGATGCTGAACCCAGATGCCATCAGACATTATAGAAAAGCAGTTACTGCACATATGGAGTAACTACTTTTTCTGAACATTAATTTCTTTTTTCTTAACAGGCTGAAATGGTGTTTAGAAAAGAGAAAAGGCACCACTCTGTAGTAAAGGTTTTATGTTCTGGACTTGCAGAGCTGGGCTACCTGCTAGTGCTGCAGTCCTGGCACAGGCTCTGTCTATCGGTCTTAGCAACAGAGGCTCCTCTAGCCAGTCAGTCTGAGGCATCCTAATCGGGCACCTGAGAGAGCGGGGCGTGGGAGGCTTTCCTTGTCTGCGGGGTTGGGTGTAACCAGGGACGCTCAAAGTGAGGGCGGAGGACTGTCCACACGGCATCCCTGGGGAGCTGCTCAAAAGGCAGAGCCAGGCCCACCTGCTGCCGTCTCTGAGGCTAGGCCGTCTAGGGCTGGGGGGGAGCTGGCACCAATGATCCTCCCCCGCCAAGGGCTGGGCGGGTGGCACTGAGAGATGATCTCGAAGGTCCCTTCCACTCTAAAATTCTAAGTCTGCGTTTGTTTTAAAAGTGGTGTCCCGTCAGCTGGTGAGTGAACCTGTACAGCGCAGAGGGAGACTTGCAGCCTAAGTCAGAGTGTTCTAAGGCTGTCCTGCACACAGACGCAGTAAGCACTGAGGCAGGACGGTGCTGGTGCTGTCGCTGTGTCAGGAGCCTGCTTGGGGTTTTCCCCCAGGGGCAGCGGAAGAGCCCCTCGGGTCGCTACGGGCGCCGAGGTCCCCAAGGCCTTTCCTGCACAGCACCTCCTGGGGCTTCCTCTTCACCTCTGGCCTCTCTCAGTTGTTGAGAAAATTACCCAGGCTTTTCCACAATCTCGATTCACCAAACTCTTACGTAATTTTTACAATATATTCTTTTGATAAACTACTACAGGCAGTCCTCTACTTTCACTTGTAGTAAGTGAAATCTTACAGAAACAGATTTAGGAACAAACAGTAGACATACTTTAAAAGGGGAGTTCCATACTCACAAAGCTAAAAATCAAACTGCAATTTTACTTCTCCCTTTGGCACAATATTTGAAGAAATAATTCCTACATGTTACTTTATTTCATTCTCTCTCTAGAACTGCTTAAAAGCTCAATGAGAGCCTACGATTTGAGATTTTAAGCACATCTGGAGAATTCTATCTTTGACGCATTTTATTAGGTGTAGAAGAGCTAAACCTCTGTGGGTAGTATCAAATTTTTATAAAACTGTAAGAGCAAAGTGCAGCAGGCTTTCAAAATAATTACACAAACAGCTGAATAAATTATGCTGCTCAGCCAGGCCGCGGCAGGCACGCAGCGCCCCCATGCGGCGGCTTGAGGTCATCAGCTTGGCAAGTGCACAGGCAGGGCTCGCCCAGCAACGCCCCCTCCGGTCCCAATCAGGTCACTTCCAGGCACCAACCTGCGACGGTGCTGCGGTCAGAGGGAGGGACTTGTGGGGACTGTTTATGACAAGGATGTCTCATTACACAGACAGTCTCAGCAGCGGTCAGACTGGACCAGAGACAGTGCTCAGCGGGCGAGATGCTGGGGTGAGGCCGGCAGGCTTCGCACGCTCTTGCTCTAAGGAGGCCTGATGGACGTGGCCTGCAGACGCCAATGTCCAGCTGTCTCGTTAGCCCCATGCCCTTCAACAAAGGACAGGTTTGGTGGGTAGATTGTATATTGTGTCTATGGGCCCAATTTTATTCAAAACTTCTTTCAACTATAAAGCCTTGTGACTGAGTACATGAGCTAAATTCAAGAAGAAGGTTAGAGTGAGGCTAAACTCCTTTCAAGTTTATTGGAGTTGTGTTTTTCTTTTCATTTTTTTCTCCATCAACTGTACCATAAATTTAACAGCCACATTATAGTAAATATGCATGTTCCCTGTAAACGTTCCCCACGTATCAAAAGTGCGGGAAAGTAGAGGGTGCGGGGAAAGACAACCTGCAATGAGAGTCAGCATGTCAGCAGTGCTCCTGAGAGACACTGAAATACAATTTATTTAAATGAGTAGTGTTCGCCCTTATTTCACAGTGACCTTCCTTGCTGTGAACAGCTGAGCCCTAAGCGCTAGCAGCCTAGGGAATACTGGGAGGTGACAAAACACGCTGGTTTCAGAGCCCCTGGCTCTGCCCCAGACCCTGAGGAAAGACAAAGACAGAGTGAGCTCCTGGGCCTGTGTGTGTCTGTGTGGACAGTCTAGACGGCACCTGCTAGGACGTGGCCGAGAAAGGCCCAGAATTCATCTGAAAGGCCTCGCTGGCACTCCCCAGCATTGGTCGAGACGGGGATACTGTCCAACACAGAAGTCACAGGCCTCACAGGACACTTCCTTGTAGCTCAGAAGAGATACCTTCTTTAACCCGAGAAGGCAAGGAGAGGCTTTTAAATTGATTAAATCAGCTTAGCTCATACATCTCTTATGAACTAAATATTCAATTAAAACATTTTCAAAAGCAAAATCTGACAAAGTCCTCTCTTAAAGTAATTTAGATGATAGGTTCTTAACCCAGAGGAATTAAACCCTCCTCGCAGCTGGTATTTTCCAGAGCTTCAGGAATAGCTGCACGCGCCTGGACAAAGCTCTACTTGTGTGTTAAGCCGTGATTCATGGTCAATGACAATATAAACTAGAAAACACTGGTGTGAGCCTAACATTCCTATTTATTTTATTTTTTTTACTTCAAAAGCTACATACATGCAGAAGTTGAACATGTCATCACAATGCTTTCAGATAAAGTTCAAAAATAAAAATACTTCAAAACCCATTTACTCATGGAAGCTATGACAATTATAATGAAGATAACTCAATTATAGCCTTTTCTAATCTATCAGAAAAATACTTATGTTATAAAAAAAGAATTTTAACTCATGTGTATAGTAATTTTTAAAATTCTTGATGAATAATAAAACGAGCTGGATGTTAGTACAATATTTAAAGAAACAAGTTCCAGGCTTGTGAAAACGGGTCTGATATCCTTGGTACCTCATTTAAAAATTGCTGAAGAAACTCAAGTTTAGAAACAAAGCATTTTTTTAAAAACTATGATCATTGTTATTATGGTTGATGTGGTTAGTAATGCAAATGAAGGGTACAACTTTTATAAACAGATGTTGTTGAAAGTCCTTTCAAATGTTTGAATGAAGAATTTTATTTACAAACACAGGTTGGAGGCTTGAGGTACCTCTATGGCTCTCTGCTGGTCAACACTGCAAGAGGAATTAAAAATCCTGGTTACAATGAAGCTCTGAGCGCTCGGCCTTTCTCTATAATGTGTAAGCACCTGAGAGCAACCCTGACCCCAAAAAAGCCCCAGCAGGAGGCGGCGCCTTCGAAGGAGCCCACCTCTTTCAGGTAGAGCGGGGGAGCGTGCAGAGGCAAGGCGGCCAATAGGCCGCTGAGCGAGTCAGCGCCAAAGCGTGGTGTTTCCTTCCACCAACACCAGAGTTGCTTCGGTAACAGAATACAATATATATTAACAATTCCAAAAATTAATATGAACAGATACACACTCAAAGTTCAACTTTGTGAATGTTCACATTCATCCGGGAAACGAGCTCTAACTTCCTGCCCCTCAATGAAAACGCAAAGGAAAGCTGCCCGTGTGGGAGGACTGCTGATGGCTGGAAATGACACCCGATGTGGGCAGCAAAGGGGGTCACTTACCAAAACGTGTGACACTGATGTGGAAAGCCCTAAGTGGGTACATACACCCAAAATTTGGAAGAAGCTTAATTCAAACAATTAAAATGTTCCCTCCTCTTTAAATCAGAAGTAGAAGGTTTCTTATCTGGAGAAACCCCTTGTTACCATCTAAACCCTCCCATGAGAGGGCCAAACTGAAATTCTGGTCAGAAATATGTTCAGAGTCCAAACCTGGAGTTCGATTTGTATCCTGATACTCAACTGTCATTACAGTTTTCACGTTGGGCAACTGAACTATTTTTTTCCTCTCATACTAAAAAAAGTTTTAAAAAGGAAAAATAAAAGATGTGTATGCTGTCAGTGCAACATCTGATAAAGTGGTTTTTCTTTTCCCCAGGACAGAAAAAACAATGCCAGTGCCTAGTACGTACGAGTGTGTCGCAACAAATAACACTCAAGACAGGTTTCACCCCGGGTATTCCTGCCAGCGCAGCGTGGTCTGCAAAAGCAGTCCTGTCACGATTAAGCATATTCTCATCGACTAGGTGCAACATAGCTACTGGAAGGGAAACTGGTTTCTTGGGCCTCAGTGAAAGGAGAGTGTACAAAACAGTAATTAGACCAAATAAGGAATTTAAAAGGGCAAAAAAATTGAGTGAAAAGAACACAGAATTTAAAAAGAAAAAAAAAAAGCAAGCAATGTGACGGCAGAAACCCACAGTGTCCCCCACCCCACCTGCCGCTGTGAGTCCTAGGTGCCAATCTGCAAGCACAGAGCCCACTCTAAATTGACCAGCATCGGACTTCGGCAAGTCTCCTCTTCACTCTCCCTCCTGTTAAGACCGTTTCCAAAACCAATCAGCAAAGGACAAAGAATTCTTTACAGAGTGCAATTAGTGTTTTCCACGTCCACCTTCAAAAGCATGATGCTCTTCATGGGCTAAAGGACAGAAAAAAACAAAAAGAAAGAAAGGAAAGAAAACTTTAAGCAAAGGATGGGGCAACCCTTCTCTAAGGCATCTGTCTCATTCCATTTCCCCAAATGCTGGCAAGAACACAAATACCTTTTTGTGCCAGTAACTGTTAGCTAAGGCGTGCATTTCCTGAGAAATGTAATAATGAAAATTAAAACAAGGAATAAAGAAGCCACGGGCATGCTGCCTGCTTCTCTCGCTGTGCCGGGGAGGATGCGTAACCAACAGAGAGTATGCGGGGCTCCGAGCAGATGCTGCAGGGAAAACGCGCCCCACCAATGCACGAGCAGGGAGGGACCTCATCTTACCCAAGACAGGGCCATTCACAAGCCTATCTTTAAAAATAAAATAGAACAAAAATAAAACAAAACAAAGAACAACACCAGGGTGGTAACGATTATGTCTCCCACCCCTGACCGCCCTCTCTGGGATATGAAGTTTCATGAAATTAATGGGTCTTTTATTTTTCCTGTGCATTTCTTCTCCCCAGCTATACTGCCTGGCTTGCAAATTACTATTTACAATTTTAATACTCTAAATAATAAATTATCAAAACTATTTTTCAAAGGCTTAAAACTTTGAAAAGTGGAAGTGGGAAATGGGAGACTTGTGAAATACATAACATGTCCTCCACGGCGAAGGGCCAGGATTGACTCTACTCACTGGTTCTGGTTAACCACCATCCTGAAGCAAGGGCAGGTTCTCTTTCAGGGAAAAGTCTCTGTGGCTTGAGTCTAAACCAAGGGCAACTCAGGATCCCCTGAGCTTCCTCTCCCCTCCCCACCCTCACCTCAGTGAAGCTGTCCTAGAAAGGCAATGGCGCTGGCCCATTTCCCCTCTGAAGCCCCCCCCAGTTCTCTGGTTTCAATATGCACCGAATTCTTCGGGTGAGTGGGGGTGGGGATGGGACCATCTTCCACTCAGGATCACCTATATGCTCTCCCTGTCTTCTCTTCACTTGCACAAAACACTGGGAGAAGCACACCTAGGCTTTCCTAAGGGTGGCCTGCAATCCAAACTGATTTAATTGAACATTTCTCACAAGGAGAACTACAAATATTTCATTTTGTACAGTTTTCATTCTTTTTAAGGAAGATTTTCAGGGCAGACACGGAAAAAAAAAACCTGTTCTGCCCTGCTCTGCAATAAAATATACAGTGCTGTAGGTCACACAGGGGAGCCACGACCTCACAGCAACGCTGGGCTCCAAGGATAAAACTCGAGATCGGAACTATCAAAAGGTTTCACGACTTGTGAGTGTGAGGGACACTGCAGTGCTGTGACTGGGACAGGCCATGGAGATAGCAGGATGGGCATTCAGAGCTGGGAGAGCTCTGTTCACCCAAGGCTGGCAGAGAGGGAATATGGAAATGCCTGAACCCAGGACTCAGCAAACTTCCTGGAAAGGGACACAGAATAAATATTTTGGGCTTTGCAGGCCATAGGCCTCTATGCCAATCACTGACTCTGCCACCGTAACATGATGCAGCCACAGATGAATGTGCACAAACGGGCACTGCTAGGTGCCAGCAGCCTTACACACACGTGGACACTGAGATATGCATTTCATACAATTTTCATGCACTGTAGTTCTTCTGATTTTTTCCAACCACTTAAAAATGTGAAAACCATTCTTAGTTGCAGCCCATATGAAAACAGGTGACAAGGGGCCAGATTTGGCTTGAGGCTCATAGTTTGCCAACCTCTGCTCTAAACAATTCTCACATCAGAAAAGACACCTGTCCTTCAGCTGCTCTGAATTTGGGGAGAGGGCTTTCTGTCCACTGGGAGTTTCTCAGTCAAATAAACTATCTTTATCCAAATCATATATAACTTATCAGCAGCCCAATTCTCATCCACCCTGCAGGGAACTCTGCCGTGTCACCTGGCTCCACGCCCTGTGAATGCTCACAGCAGAGTGCTAGGAACAAGACCCAGTGAGCCCACAGGTGGCCATTCTAACTCAGCTCCCTCTCCAGCTGTCCCTCAGCAGGCTGGGCATAAGGTTTCTGCCCATGCCTTAGCTTTCCAGATCAGTTCTGCAGCACCTGATTTAGAACCCTACTGAGTAAAGGACTGCCTGCTGCATGTAAATTAAAGAGAATTGCTTCTTGTTTTCCAATTCAAATTTTTGAGTAATCTTTGAGGTTTTAAATGTTAATTTATGCCATTAAAATATGAATTTCCACTGAGACCTGTAGCCAGTTCTGTGTTACCCACAAACTTCCCTTGGCCTCTGTCTTTAGGGTGTCTATTCAGCTTGATTTAACTGGCCAAGCTGCAGCTTCCTCCCTTTGGCTCCCCGCAAGCCCCTGCCCATCACAAAGCTAAGCAGGGACTCAGTCTTGCTCAGTCTTACCTGATGGGACTGCCACTGCCCTAAAAAGCAGCCTAACCACTCTGTGGCCCAATTATCTACTGAAACCTCTCATAGCATGCTGAACCTGCTGCTAACCAACATGTTACCTGGAAATTTAATAATACAATTTTGAAGTAGAAGGGACCTTGGAGATCATTTAAGACTAACCTCCTTGCTACTTAGATGAGAAAGGGAAGGCTGAGGAGTGACTTGCTCAGGTCACAGTGTTGAAGTGGGACAGAACCCAGAGTGCCTGACAGGAGTCCCAACTGCTTTCCTTCCCTTCTGAGTGAAGTGCAGAGCTGGCTGGAGGGCAGTAAAGAGAGTTTAGCCGGTTCATAGAGGGCCGTGTGGCATCCTTCCTTCGTCTCTGCTGTGGCTGGCCTTGCAGAGTGCGAGAAGAGAGACCTCGGGGACCTTTCGGCTAACATTTGTTTGAAAATGCAATTAATGTTCCCTGAGGAATGAAAATTGTACCTACAAATGTGCTACTTCCACACGCACCACCAGTAAGCGACCCCACAGTGCCTCTTGGCCCTTCTATTTAAATTGTCATCTCAAATGAGGAGCTAAGCACCTCCTGAGGCTCTACAGCCCAGCCCAGGCTCACTGCTGAACTTCAATCACCTGGCCTGGCTGTGGGATTTCTTAGAGGAAACAAAATTTCACTTTTCCCCTCCTTTTTGCCAAGGAGCTGAGAAAAGTGAAACAATAAATGAAGTGTATTTCAGCGACTCTAAGATGCATTTTCCCCACTGGCGCCCCTGGGATCAATGCTATGTCACAATTTCACTGGGGGCCTTTTACTTTTCTTTCTTAGTGATATGAAAACAATCCTACCACCAGGGCATCTTAGAGTCAATGAAATACAGTAGTTAAAAAAGCTGGGTTACTGACTCTCGGAACAGTTTGGGAAACAAGAAATTTATCACACACATGTGTAAGGCTGCCAATGCTTCGCTCTATCTCATTGACGAAAGTGTAGCCTGAGGTCCGAGCTACCAGACATTGGTTAAATAGCACTAAGCTATTTTCATTACGACAAAAATGACTTTTTCAAAAGAGCACACAAAAGCAATGAACATGAATCATGATGGAAACAATGGGTCCACACACCTATTCATACTTTTTCATTCCATCACTGTGCGTGAAGTCTGCTCAGCTGTCAGTCATCCACACTGAGGAAGCACCAGCGCTCCAGAACATTCACTCATCCTGTGCTCAGAAGAGCTCCTCCACAAACACAGATGCTATATGTTGTAAAGTCCTGTTTGTGAGGGATGACTGAGTATCTACCTGCCAGCTCATATAGGAACAGTTTCGTTATTGTTGCTTCAAATAAAAGATAATTTTTTCTGAGAATGACAAATTTAAGATCAGGTTAAAATTTTTGAAATGATACATACAACATGTATCTCCTCTCTGATCCATGCATTTAGGCAAGAATTAAATCTCATTCTAATTTCTGAGACTAAACTTTTTTTAAAACACTTAAATTTATTTTATTGAAATATTTTCTGGATTATAGAATTTCAAGTGATTCTGCCTTCACCTCATTTGCAACGCACTTTCTATTTTTAAAAGTATGACAGAATTATCTAGAAAGTAGTAACTGGAAACAAAGCACTTACGTTTATAAAATACTGCTTTAAAAGCTATGTGGGGCAGAAGTTCATGGATCTTTTCTAAAACGGTCGCTTCGCCCACTGAAGAGGCATTTACATTCCAGACTTGGACCACGTCGTCTCGGTCCCGGACACTCACGCTGACTCCTATGACTTCGTCATCTAGGGGGAAGACGGAAAAAGAGATGAGTGACAATTTCAAGTCTGCCAACATTGTTTTCTAAGCACTTATTACTTTACCTGTAAGTTATAAAGTGATAAAAAGGTGACACAAGAGAACCCACAATAAATACTTGTTTCTAAGAAGAAATACTGGACAAAAAGCAAGTTATTGGGCAAAAGCTGTAGCAATCACATCACATTTAACCGGGAACTTAGATAAACAAAGCGTTCAAGCCAAACACATTTTCCAGATAAGTAATTTACTCTTTTAACATGTTACCAAAGTTTTTTGACTATTTCTTACTGTTTTGATGAGACTTTTTCTAAAATGAGTTGCATAACTCTGCCCTCTGAAAGCCAAGTGAACTCAGATGAACTCTTCCTCGATGCTTGACTGTCTTTGTTGAGAAGAGCAAGTATTTCTCCTGACTTCCTGCCAAGCGCTCAGATATCCTGGGGTGGTTAGTACTATTTGCCCCAACACTAACTGGACGTGGACTGTGCATTCCGAGTTGCTCCCTCTGCTTTCTGTGGTTTGTCTCCTTTCCTATGAACTCTTCCTGTTCCCCAGGGCTTTGCTCGAGGCATCCCTGTCCTGTGTCTGGGCTTTTTAACTGTGGGCTAGAGAATCAGTGACCATTATAGTACCGCAGTGGCTGGACATTAAAGCATTTACCCACATTAATTAATGGAGGTCTTTTTAAAAAAACTGAATTCTGGGTTTAGGGCTACCTTGTAGATACTTGAGAATGGTGGCTGGTACGTACTATACTCTCATATGCTCCCTTGCAGACCCTCTGTGGATGTTAATTTGAAGTGAAATGATAGGAGTAAAGACTCATGGCTCCTGGTTTTCACATGTTCGTGACACATTAATGAAACAGAGTTGGCTCTCTGCACCTGCACATTCAGCACCAATAGGTAAAGGAAAAAGGTAAGCATCAAAATTAGAAAATGTTGCTTTAGTAGACATGCTTTGCCCAATTTGCTGTAAACCTGTAAATCTAAACAACTTCTTCAGTACAGTGGTCATGAAGTCTTTAGGAAAATATCAGTGTTCTCCAGTCTTTTGATATTGCACATTCCTACACTTCTGGCCAGAGGGAGCTGAGGATGCTGAGCTGTCGATTCCTGCCTGGAGTGGCTTCTGGTAACGAGCGAGGCACAGCCCACAGACCTAGCACAGCACTCGCGGAAATGGCAGGTAAGAAGGCTGTGACTCTCAGGCAAAGGCACATCCATCGGCAAACGTGGAAGAGTCTTACGTAGAGTCAATCAGCAAAACCCTGATTAGTTTAGGGCACTGGCAGCATGAGCAGTCAGGACCAGGGCAGGCCGCTGATTAAAGATGGGGAGTGGGGCCCAGAGGGATGAGCCACTTCAAGTGGCAGAGCCAGTTTTTAATGGTTAATAGTTAATGGAGTTCCTGAGCCAACCACAGAACAATAGGTCTCCTTTATTCAATCCTGGCTATTTATTATTACTTAGATAATTTTCCCTGGTTCTGGAAACAGGAATAATTCACACACAAACTTTCTCTCCCAGGGATTTCTATATTTACAATTATACCTAGGGTGCATTTTGGCTGCATATTGTGAAGTTGCTAACCACTCCCTATTAAAATAAAAGGAATCTTATTTTTAAGACAATTTCGTCTAACCCAGGTTTTGTCTTCAGTAAATAAAAAGAGTGGTGTAAGAAGAAAGTAAAACAAAAGCAGAATTACCCAAACTGCTGGCAATGAGTTGGAAGCTGGCCACGGGACTGGGAGGCCGCCGGCTCTGAGGATCACACTAGCCAGCACATCTGCCGGCAAATTAGTCAACACCGTTTCGTTAAAAAAATCGCAACTGAATGCTAAACAGGAAAAACGTTACTCTAAATGTTACCTCAGAAGCATCCAGAAGGAGCCAACCAAGAAAAACAAAACTTTAAGTGAACAATTCAGTTCCCCTCTTTGAGTGGTTTCATGATAAAAACAAAGAAAAATTAAAATGTACTCAGAAAATTCACTCAGTATTTGAAAGTGGTCTCCAGAGTCACGTCCTGAAGACCTTATACTTTAGCTTCAATTGTGGGGGGTCATAGCTGAAAGGCTGAGTGCATCCTGCCTACTCTTTACTGCTCCCTTTGAGCAGGAATGAAGAGAGGAGCTGGAGGAAGGGGAACGGGGCTGAGGGGGACAGAAAGAATTGTGCCTACCTAGCTATAAACTTCCAGAGCCCGACTGATACCAAATTTTCTTTTCTTTCTGCCTATTTTGAACAGATGATCACAGATACGGTTAAGATGAGTTATGAGGGAACATACATACGCATATACACAGACATATACTTAGTACACACACGTAAATATGTATGTGTACATATACATAGAACACTAAGTGCCACAATCACGTGAAAAAAAAAACCTCAGTAACTTCACAGTTACAAAATAAACAACTTCAAAACATGTAAAAAGTCAAACACATACAAACTTCTGCAAGTAACAAGCACAAGGCAAGCACAGGGAGAGGCCGCGCTCGCTCTTTACCTGCTGCGGCGCAGTCTGTGAACTGCTCCCCGATAGTCGCTAACAACAACTCTTTCCAAACTGTGGACTGGTGTGAAAAAAATAAAAAAAAACAAAACCAAAAAAACACAATGTATATATATTTTTAGACAATTATACTCAGGAGCTAAACAAGTCCCATTTTCCGCAACTTCACGTGCTTTCCATGCCCATGCTTAGAGCCCACAGACGCCTCCAACTACAGGCGGGACACCCACAGGGGCGCGTGCTGCCGTTCCACAAATAACGTTACAGACAGATGCAGTGACCCAGAGGCACTAACTTCGTGTCCAAAAGCCTTGGTGTCCTAAGTCACAAGGCTAATTTCTAGTGAACCCCAGATAAAATTCAAACAAGGGGGGAAAACGCATTAAAATGATTTAATTTCTGATTTCTTTACCTCTCTCTGATTCAGAATGTATCAACTGGTTACACTTGAATACTATTAGCAAAATCCTTCTCTTCCAAACCCTTTCCTCTGTTTTCCTTGCAGTTTGTAAGGTACTTCAAAGGTTACACAGCAAAGAGCACTTAGGAAATGTCTGGGTTACTGAATACTAGACTTGCCAACGCCCACTCCCGGAGGCAGGCTGTCTGCCCTAGTGACAGCCCTGTGAGTGTCCGTGTGCACTTCCCCAGAGGAAACAGCGCGTGGTCTGCTCCACCTCCTGCCAGTGGGAACATGGAGTCCTCTCTACTCAAGATCTGCTAGAGCCACCCAGCAAACAGGCCCCTGAAGGCCTGCAGTTCTGCCGGTTATTCCCCCTTGAGAAGTTCTTGGTCCCATTTATCTTCCTTGCCCCGGTCCACAGTCTCTGAACTCTCCCAGAACTGGGTCTGAATCCTGGCAGGCTGCTTAGCATTTGTGAACCTGGCTGGGCAGGCTATCAACCTTTCTGAGCACGTTTCCAGAGGCGAACAGGGAAAAACAGTAGGGCCTGACCTCCCAGGGTTGTCGTGACCATGCCTCAGTCAGCAGTGCTTTCAAAGGGCTTAGCTCTGATGCAGCCGACTCAGCCATTCCATAAAGAGCTGTATGTCTGCTTTATGCCAGGGGCTCAGTGCATATTAACCACAATACCAGTGTTTACATTACGTTCCAACGAGCGGAAAGCAGCCTCGCTGAACCATTGTGGCCTCTTACTCTCAAGAGGGGTTTTCTTTTCTCCTCCCTAGACCCTCCCTCTGGTCTACTTGTCTCCCATCTAGAAATCACCCTGTCTACTTTCTACCTGCCCAACTGTGTTCTCTTATGGTCAGTGATGCAGCTCAGGGGGAGGGTGGAGTTAGGGGAGGGAAAGTTCCCTGTCCTGCTCTGGGTGCAGACAAGGGTGGCCACCAGACCCACTGGCTGCCAACTAAGCGTGCACTGAACTGCTCAGGATGACAACACTGTACAGACGTGAAGTGTTACTTGGGACTGAATGTGGCCGAGTGGACTAACAGGGAAAAGGCAGACATGCCTTTCAGCCTCTTCACAGAAAGTTGGCATCCTGATTGTTTCTACTAGAATTCAAAGTCTAGTGTCAGAAAATAATGTGAAAAGGAAAACTTGTTGAAATTTTTAAAAACATGCATTCTCTCCTCTTACACTATCTGCTTTTTCTCCTTTTTAAGGGGCACAGAGTGCATTCACAGGCCCTACTTACCTGGTTGTCATTTGCTCCCGACATCATGATATACGCCAACTAACAGACAAATCTTGGAGCTACACATCCTGACAATAGCCTACATCTTTAACAAACAGATCTGGCTACATCTTAGGTGTGTGCTTATAGGGAAATGACTCCAGCTCAAGCCCATGGGTCTCTGGGGACATTTCAATTCTTTGAGCTTATCCACATGAAAGAAACCACGGAGAGGTGAGAATGGGTAGCACTTGCCCTTTCATCTATTTTCAAAGCCGCTCTCTGGTTTCCCAGGGCTTAAGAACATTTGAACGTTCACTTTCAGTCGGTGTGGTGCACTAGGGTCCACCCACCCCTGGGAAGCTGAGGTTTCTGAGGCTTGGCCACAGCAAACCAGCGTCTCACCAGGCCATACTTCCAAACCAGGTTCTCATGGGCCTCATGTGAAACCCCACAGAATAGTGAGACCCAGGCCTCCCCAGCAGCCCCACTCTCTACACCATGGTCATACTCAGTACCACTTGCCCCCAGTGGAGGAGGGACAGGCTGTTGGAGGGAAGGACCCTGCTTCTTGCTTTGTAAAACTAACATCCACATGTTACTTATGGCTTGGTGAGAAAACGACCGCCTCAGAGATAATAAGCTTTCTGTAAAAGTTACAGGCATTCAGCTCTTCAGACCACATGGCACAGACCATGACACCTCTTCTAGAGACGCACAGCGGTGTAACGGAAGGGGACGGTGCAAGGCAGGAAGCCGCAGGACAGGGCAGTTTCTCAGCCCCATCCTGTCCCGAGGTGACCGGGCACGCTGTCTGAAAGCACAGGACGGCCTCGTCTGCAACCAGCGACTCAGGCCCAGGCAGTTCCAGGACAGGGTCCGAGCACACCCACCGTGCTGTCCTTGGGCACTCTCATCTTCCACGCACCGCCCTTCGCATTACTCTCTTCTTCCCTGGGTCAAACAACGTCTGAAGTTACAACAAGGACTTACTTTAACAACAGATGACAATGAGAACAAAAAACAACCAGCACTCCTCAATAAACTCCCCCAGTCCTTTTATTGGGAACAGAAGTAGATGAAAGAAAAAGGAAGGGGGTGGGATGAAGAGGGAAGAAAATGAAATTCAGTGACCACAAGGGCAGGGAAGGGGATGGGAAGCCAGGCTCTCAGCCCCAAGGAGGTGGTCCTGAGAGGTCCCCTAGGTTGCCTGGGATCGGTATATTAGCACAAGTATTTCACCTATGTAAAGGCCTTTATTGTTTGGTATCAGGGTGATGGCATTGTCTCTTAGGTCCATCAGGTGACCCAGCCCCTTTGGTGGAAATTTTCTGTGTCTCCCTCTTCTGGTAAGAGCATCCCAGTTTCCCTTTAAGGAGCCACGTGTCCCCTACTCTATGTCAGACCCATTCAGATAGGGGTGACTGCACTCCCTAGCTTCAAAGATGGGCTTATGACTCTGGCTCGCCCATGAGATATTGCCTCTTCCCGTGCCTGTGATCGGCCAGGGCTGGGTGACCCATGTGAGCCAATGAGAGCCAGCCCTGGTATCTTCCGGGCTGGTCAGTGCTGACACAGATAACCTCGTAGGGTGCGAGCCTGGGGGCACTGTGAGCCCTTTTGCCACCACCAACGGGAGGGCCTGAAAATTAAACCAGTGCTGAGACAAGCAGAGCACATCTGTTAGAGCGCTCTGCTCCTAGAGCACCTGAGCACGCACCTGTCAGCAATCAGCGCCACCGCTGGACTTCTCAGGTACAGGGCCCCAAATTCCATTTTTTGGCTCAGATTTAGTTCCTGTCATTTGCTACCAAAGGAGATGACATACATTCCCATTTTATTAATGACTATGTAACTTATAACAGTTGAGGGACATGCTTTAACGATGTATTACTAGCTGGGACCTCAGCCCAGGCAAGCTGGCTTCCTGTCCACCTCCCTCATCACTGCACCAAGCTATTAAAGGGAGTCCCTGCCCAGACCCCAGGCCACGGGCAGTCCCACACCTTCTGTGGTCTGTGTAAGAGAGGTGTCTTTGGTGACATGATCTTGTTCAACCATACAACAGGTATGGATCCCACATCTGTCCCCCTCAGCTCCCCACAAGTCTAGAAGCTTTTCCACTCAACTGCCCAGGTCATCACTGAACAAATGAAAGAAGACACCCAGGTGATGGACACCCTGTGCAAAGGGTGGCACCACCTCAAAAGCATGAGTGATGGCCTATTGGTGGCGAGACTGAATGGGGCCCTTGGGGGGAGACCAAGAGCTCTTCCTACCATCCTGAGCCCACGGTGAGTGGGGGAGAGGGGCCGGAGGGCAGGGGCTTACTTCATAATTAATAGCTGAAACGGCTGCCAGCATCACCTGAAGAAAAGTGCTCTGCATTCCAACTCAGCATGAAGTGTTTAATGAGGTTACAATCATTCCCCTCCCACCATGACCTCAGGTTAACGCTAGACACTTACCAAAGCGGTCGCCTCTCTCCTCTCATTAAATGATAACTACATCTCAGAGGCAGGCTAGTCACCGGAGGGATGTTATTGTACACACTCCAGAATATCTTCAAAAGAAAAACACTTTGTTTAATATACCCAGTATTGATTTGTACCATACCACTAGATTATAAAATTAATGAATTAAAGAAAAAAATCAGATCCTCATTAAGTCCTATCCATCCAAAATAGATTTTTCTCAGTGTTCTAATTTTCTGCTAGAAAACATTAGCATAACATTAAAAAATGTTCCTTGCTGAAGTAGGGCCAAGTGCTGTGCTTCACAGTGCCGTGGTCACTAAGCAAACACTCCTGTGCAATGTACCTCCACATACACCAGGAAAGGGCCTTGCTAATGGTTTTCCTGACAAGTAGATGGCACCTGATAAAGCCCTTGGTGTTGAACACACACACGACCCACGTTTCCTGTAACACAGGCTTCTCTCCAAGCCTACGAGGCTGCGCCCTGGACTGCGGGGTGGGGGGAAGGGAGACGCTGGGCAGAGTGGCCTGAGTGCTCCTCCGCCTCGCGGGGACGGCGGCAGCTCAGCTGCCCAAGGTGCGGGGCGGTCTGGGCCGCGTGCCTGTGCCCTCCTCACTCACAGTGCTGCTCGGAGGCGGCGGAGCCTGGCGCGGCGACAGGCTGTGAGGGCATCGTCCAAGAGGACGAGAGCGGGCCCCTCTGCGGCCCGGAGGACACGAGGAGGAACCGGCCTCGCTGGAACGCGGCCACGCCGGCACCCTGCTCTTGGACGTCCAGCCTCCAGAGCTGTGAGACATCCGTTTTTGTAGCTTAAGCTGCCAGGCTACAGCATTCTGTGAGAGCAGCCAGAACTAATGAAGACAGAGCGGCTGGTAGACAGAAACATTATATAATAATAGTGTAATAGTAACAGCAATACTACCTGTCGTAATGATGCCAGGCTTTGGTCTATTAAATTTTACATGTTTGTGTAATCTGTCCCAATGACAACCTCATTAGGAGGCACTATTTTTAAGCTGTTTCATAGATAAGAAAGTTGAGGCAGACACTAACCTGCTCGAGCGCCCCTGTTCGGTGTAACCATTAGGGTTTGGATGAGAATTGTTTATGAAGAACAAAGCCTTCCCCAGTTTGTTTGGAGTGGGCTACAGGATTACTTGGCTACGAATTCATTTATGCACAGAATCACACCACCAGTGAGAACTAGGCTCCTGTGTGGGGAGGCGAGTGAGGTGACCGTCTGTGTCTCCTCACGGGTCTAAAGGGAAGAGCACAGCAGCAGAACTGGAAGGAGGAGCCCCAGAGCCTTGTGGAGAAAAGTGGTGCTGGGACGAGGCCACATCTGTGCTGAAGGAGGGCCCCTCCTGCGTGTCTGAGCCTGTCTTGTAAAAAATTAACGCTGAACTAACTTCAAGGGCAGCAACAAGCTGTAAGGTAAAACTGACGGCAAAAATCTGCCTGCAGGGAGATTAATTAGGGATCCCAGGATCCCTGTACTAATGCAGTGCTAATGTGGGGAGTAGCTGAAAATGGATTTGTAGGAACTGTGGGTCCTCAAGCAGTTTCCACTTTTTTAGGGAAGTACTGAAGGAGACCAGACTTTGCCAACCCAAGATATGCCTTTTGGCATATTATTTTAAGCTGGTTATTTTTAAGAATCAAAAGACTCAGAAAGAATCTTTGACCCTTCCCTTTTCCTGCCTAGGGGAATTCAGGTAGAAAACCCTGCTTCAGGAAGGTGGCCTCTGCTCATTCCCCTCAGCAAGGCTGAGCTGTGTGTGATAGATGGAGGCTCCTGCCAAATCTGTCTGTTGAACTCCCCTCTCTGCCCCACTGTTTGGGGTCCCCCAGCGTGAATTTGTTTACCACGTTTGCTTTCCCATCTCCCTGAGAACTGCCTGCTTTCCCTTTGAAGTCCCAGAGCCCAGCTCCCCCTGCTCAGTCCAGAATGGCACATAAGCCTCAACTGCCCAATACGCCCTGGGGTCCCATATTCTTCTGGACACCCCATATGTACATACATAATAAATTAGGTTATTTTTCTCCTGTTACTCAGTCTCATATCAATTTATTTCTCCTGTTAACCAGTCTCATGTCAATTTGATTATTAGAAAGGTGGAAGGAAAATTATTTTTCCACCCCTAAAGTTCCTACCCTATAAATGGTTTGCTCTTAGTGCAAAGAATAGGGTAGCTCCAATTCTTTGGTTTCTGTCTGTCTGTGCACATGAATAGGTAGAGCCAAATTTGGTGCCAGGCAATTTGATTCCAAAACCTGTGTTCTTAACCACTAAGCTATTTCTTTTGAAAACGTTACCATGTTTTTTGGAACATCTTTCTTCCATCTCGGAAGCCACAGACCAGTCACAGAAGGAGGGAATGTTTAGAGACGTTTTCTCACCAGTAAGCCCTTGGTGGCGTCCAGCACAGCGGTGCTGTGACTCCAGCCTGGGACTCTCACTGTGAGGTGCTGATGACCTGTGCAGAACTTATAGGCGAGACTATGCTAAATGAGAAATCCCTGCCTTAGGTGAAACCAAAAGGACTTTGGTGCAGGAAACTTCAAGTCCCCTAAAAGGCATTCCCATACCACAGCACCTGCCCGCACTGCTCTGCCAAAGTCCTGGAGTCCTGACTTCTACCTACTGTTTGAAGCACCTTGAACAAAATGCTCTCCTGTTCCAAAGGTGAGAAAACACCCTAAGGACTGTACTAAGGTTTACAGCTTCTTCCTAAGGTTTATAGCTTGACCCTCAGGTTTACAGCTTCTCTTGAAAAAACCAGAAACACACACTCATTTTGTTAGTCTTGGCAAACCTGACAGATGACAACCTGAGGAGACAGCAACAGACTCAGCTCTGACTCAGCCTGCTGATTAGAGCACACGGCTGTCCACCTGCGCACGAGAGCCGACGAGCGAAACACCTGGGGACGCACCGAGGGGAGCCCAGTCTAAAAGGCGGCACTGAACGGGCCTGTTCCCTGCTGCAAAGCACACGCAGTACCTGTTAGGTCTGCGTGAGGGTGAGACAGCTGAGGGAGGGGCCCGCATCACGCAGCGCCTCAGACCCTCCCTCCTGCAAGCGAGAGGCCCCGCACGGAAGCTTTGTTATTCATGGCCGTTTCCTTGTAACGCTTTTTCTTTTTAGTTGAAACACCTACATTTCACTAGAGATAGAACCCAGCAAATAGACTACAAAGCAATTAGGCTTATAATTAATTCTATTTGGGCCTGCAAACAATAGATTGCAGTAAAGCTAAAACCAAGCACAATGTTTACCAATGATGGTCAAATGCTTTTTTCAAAAGCCTAAAGAAAACCCAGGTCAAGGAGAAGAGCAAGAGCTGGGCGTCCTTCACTGAGCCAGCAGTGGGCACCGTGGGGAGTCCTGGGGAGCGGAGCTGGGTGCCTGCGGGCAGCCTGTGCAGAGGCCACTCCTCGGCGGGAAGTTCTTGAGCATCACTGCGCCACCTCTTCTGCTTAACAAGCAGGCCAGATGGCTGCCCAGTGCAGACTTAACTCTAACGGAGTTAGGAGCAGAGTTCCCAGGATAGTCCCCCCAGGACACAGAGCCCTGGAAGCCTCCTTCCTCCCGGGCAGCAGGGCGAACGCAGCCATTTCACTGGCTAACTCAGCTCCAGGTGGCAAGTGAGTGCGTGGACGGCCTGAAATGGGGAAGCAGGTGTGGCCAGACTCAGCAGATAAAGATGACGTCTTGATAAACCCGTTTGCTAGTTCTGACTGGAGCTACTATGCCACACCTGACAGTCCTCTGCCAAAGAGAGAATCATCCATTGCCAGGGAAACTGGCAAATTTTCTTCAGGGGTGTTCTGAAGAAAAAATACGAGAATATACTTGAGAAAAAAAGATGCCACGTGGTGACAGATAGCAAAGTGTAACACAAACACCCAGCAATGCACCTCCAGAAACCCAACCCTGCCCAGTCCAGCATTTCTTGTGAGGGCTGCCGCATATGAAGCAGAAGAGTATTTTTCAAATGCTAATGAACATTTTCTTTCATCAGGTGTTTCTAGCTGTCTGGGGCTTGCTTCTCACCAACTGAATCTGAGCAGATGCCCAGAACAAACGTGACCTTAACGGGTGTTTTCAGCTCAGAGCAGACAGGATGGGAGGAAAGCAAAGTGCTCGAGGTGTGCAGGAGCTGGTCACTTGGAGAGAAATGGGTTTGCTTGGAATTCCAAAAGGGCTTGACTTAAAGTGAGAGCCCAAGTTTTGAGGACTGATGGCCAAGCAGATCAGATGGAGGCTGTCAGGGCCATTTCCCACCCCGCAGGAAGTCGACAGAGAAAAAACAAAGTCTGAGTTGGGGACCTAAGCAGGGTTTAAACTTTGAGAGAAGTTCCTGAAAAGTCTGGGGAACAGCAGAGCAGTGTGCAGCCTGCTACTAGGTGCAGCCGACTGGTAGATGATTCCTTATTGAGGTTAACATTTTTAAGTTCAGAGGGGCTCCATACAAAACCCAAGAACTTGTTCATCTCAGGAGCTTAGATACTACTGAAAAAAGGGTGATACTTTGTGAAGAGGTGACTAGACAAAAAAAATCAGGATTTGGGCCCCTAAAGGTGTAAATTGTGGGAAGGTGACTAGGAAATACAAGGTAGATTAGAATTGTTTAGTAAGGTTTGTTATGTAGACTAGGGATGAAAAAGGGGGGCACCTTCACAAAGGGAAACTTAGGCCCCAATGTGAGGCAGAGAGCAACTCCTGCGTGCTGTTTCTTAGCTGTCTTCAGCTCAAACTAATCCTTCTGGTAAGAGGCACATTCTGATCACCTTCAGAAGAGACCAAGTTTTACCTCCGAAGTGACTAAATTACTTTTACTTGGCAAGATTTAGTCTGTCCCCTGCACCCCCACCCCATCCTCGGAAGGGCCTGCAGGCCAGCTGACTGGAGGGTCACAGGTAATTCAACTTCGGTTCTATTTCTGCACAACTAGGTTGTGACTATATGTTGATCCCATAAACATGTAATGAATAAATTCAATGATAATAAAGAATCCTGTTACACTTATTAGCCTGTGCTGGCCAGAGCTATGAAGTAGAACTTGCTTCAGGTCTCTCTCTCTCTCTCTCTCTCTCTCTGGTGTGCAGTTTCTTTTGCTCCTCCCCTTCCCCCCTGGTTCCCTCCAGGCCACTCTACTGCAGGATACCGCCTGCCCTGGGCTGCCCTTCTGCAGGGAGTACTTGGAACCAATGGTCTCATCATCTTCCATTATCAACACTGACTTATAAACCTCTCCTTCTGAAATGGCAGCCTCGCTTCCAGGGGTTGGAAAGCCACCTGTTGTCCCCACTTCATGGCCTAACTTCATGTGCACAGCTGCACGCTTCTGAGGGTGACATCTCGATGTCATGGGCACATTTTCTTCATTTTAATAGAATACATATATTTTAAGAAGCCCTTTTGTTTATGGTAAATGATTCTGGATATTCATTTACAGAAGAAATGTCATTTTCTATATAAGTAAAAATCAGTCAACTTGTGGGAAATACTGGGTAGAACCCAGTACCAGTGGGACACAATGTGGCAGAACTTGAAGTGACAACACAGACGGCTGAGGGGGTAGAGATGCTGCATGGCAATGAGCTTTCGGGTGCAGTTTTTGGTCTCGAGAAGCAAGGCTGGAAGACACTGGGAGTGAGGAGCCCTCCCTTACAACTCACACCTGGTAGGTAGCTCTTGGTTCTCCCAGGGGTGAGACCAGGCTTGTTCAGAGCTGGGTTCCATTCTGCAGAGCATCCATTTAGTACTTAAAACACAGGAGAAACGCAGAACATTTAGAAATGTTTGCAAAAGAGTAAAAGAAATCAAGCGTCTTGAAAAAATCTCCACGAAAAATGGAATTTTCCAAGAAAGGCAGGACAGTAGGAACTAAATTTAAGTCCGAACAGAGAGAATTACTGCTGGCCCCACAAGATTGTCCACAGCAGGTCTCTGGGCCATCTAGGGGCACTCAGGGAAGAGTTAAAGAGAATGGGAGTAGGAAGAAGCGGGATGAAGGCCCCATCCCAGAGACACGACGTGACTGGGTCACTTACCTCTTAGCATCAGTCCCCCCACTAATAAAGGGGATATCTCCCCTCCTCATCAAGGTCTCTGATATGCTGAAGGACCTCAAAGTATAAAAGATGCATGGTCTTTATGTGAAAGTAATCACTAACAATACACGGTTCTTACAGCTCAGCCAAATGCAAGTGGGGAAACACAGGCATGCGTAGGGATGCTGTTTTTAGTGCTAACAAAAAGTTCAAGAATCAACCTACAATCACAGGCTAAAAAGACAGTGGGACAAAAGCAAGTCCTCAACTGACTTTAAGATAGAAACCTAGGCTAGTCCTTCAACACTAAGGATTATTCACAGATATTAAGGACACTCAAGGGCTGAAATCCCAAAAGTTATTGACGGGCAGATATGTCTTCATAAGTAGGGGTGTTAGCTATGGTGTAACTGCTTGAAAAAAATAATCTAGTGATCGTAGCACACAGTTTGCTGATATAAAACATGGCTGAGAAGACAAAGAGCAGTTCCTGAAGGAGGCAGACAATGGCAGAGGAGCGATTACTATTACCATTGAGCCTCACCACTGCTCTCTACTTCCTGTGCCATCTCATTCTCACAAGCTCACGAGACACCTGGGTCCCAAGGATTCCGTCGTAAAGATGAGCAGGCAGACACAGAGCTCGAGCAACTTGCCCCAGCCGGAGTGCAGCAGGAATGGGGCATAAAACCAGGCGGTGTGACCCCCGCCACAGCCCACGTCCTCTCCAAGCAACTGGCGGAGCTGCGGGTGGGACTCAACACCACCTCAGTGAAAGCTGCTGACATCCGAGGGCTTACTAACTGTTAAACACTCCTAAGAACTAGGTGCAACCTCAACTAACGCTCAGTCAACCAGGGGAAGCAGACACTTACTCTCTCTGTTTTACAGGTGAGGGAACTGAGGGGACAGAGACACTGGAGAGACGACAGGACGTCCTGTGCACTTAGAGTACCTGCAGGAGCCCCTTTTCCTAATCACTCCCTTGTAAAAAATATTTTAATGTTTTCACTGATTTTTTTTTCGAGAGGGGGAGAGAGAGAGAGAGAGAGAGAGAAACATCGATGAGAAACATCATGTATCGGCTGCCTCCTGCACGCCCCCTACTGGGGATCGAGCCCCCAACCCAGGAATGTACCCTGACCGGGAATCGGACCAATGACCTCTTAGTTCATGGGTCAATGCTCAACCACTGAGCAACACTGGCTGGGCTCCCTTATAAAATTTTAAAGCTACAGAGAGACTGTATATCTGTTTATGTACTGTATGTACATCTGTGCTTTACATATTAAAAAAGTAAGATTTTTTTCACCCACCAAGAATCAGTTTTTGCGCCCTCTGAGAATAGACGGCCTATAGCTTACTGGACCCTTCTAGGAGTAGTCTACTGAGACTCAGGAACACCACTCACTTGTTAATTTCTCATTCATTCATTCAACCCTGCAACATTTATTGAGTAAAAGGAACCAGACAAAATAAGTAGGGTGCGATCCATCATATGAGGTTCAATAAAAACAAAGTGAGTATGTGGTGGCAGGAGTGTGAGCAGCAGTGGCTGCTGGGGGAAGGACTGGCTGGACCGGGCTGAAGGAACTCTCTGACGATGGACTTTTTTTATTCTGATCTGGATAATGATTACAAGTTTGCATGCCTTTGCCAATATTTATCAAACCGCACACTTAAGAAATCTGCATTTACTGAATATAAATTACATCCCAATGTGGCTTTCAAGGAAGTTTTAAAGAAAGTACTTCCTAGTACATACCAACCTGGGTACCTGAAGTGGTCCCTGAAGACCCGGCTAACTTGCTCTGGACACCAAAGCTCAGCCGTGCACGAGTGTGGTCACACAGGGACAGGACAGCAACTGCCCCTTCATCTGACTGTATAGGCCGGCCGGCCCGGACTCTGGGCAGAGCTCTGATGGCCAGTGTCGTAAAGGAGAGGAAAGTCCGTCGAGTCCTCACAAACCAAGGGACCTAAGGACGTCCACATGAGGACAGGCTTTGAAGTCGAATGCTCAGGGCTCCAAACGACGGGCGAGGGAAGCCTGCTCTGGACTCTGAGACCACTGACCCCCGGGCCAGCTACTCCCACACTGCCTGTGACGAGGTGCGTGCTGGCTCTGAGGCTTGTCACGCAGCACCACATGCTTATGTCATTTCCCAACTAGATAAAAAGCAGCCTACGGTCGGGACTGTGTCTTTACTCCCACTCACTGCCCTCCCTGGGACCACAGAATAAACCATATTTCCAGCCAGATATTGGGAAAGGTGTCAGAAAAAATGCTCTCCATGATGCTATGCATGTGAGAGACTGCCTAAGAGGTGCAATCTAGGTGCCCAACTCTTTGAGTTTCTAAGACATTAGAAGGTTTAGGGGTACCCCAGGGAAACTATTTAAACTGGCCTTGTAGAAAACTTAGGACTTGGTCAATGAAATTACGAAGCAGACTTAAAAGCTTCTTTCTCTCTGTAACAGTGTATTAAACCAGAAAAGGGAGAGAAACTTGATGGAATCTGCTTTTGAAGAAAATAGAAATGTGATCAACTAAATAAATCATTTTAAAGAAATGTTCCTCCTAAGAGTTGGAGACAGAGAGAACTAATAGAACTAAGCTTACCTTTGTTGAGAACCTACTATGTGCTCTGTTGTTCAATCCTCATAACCATGAAGGGGGTGCTGCCAGTGTACTAGTTTTACAGAAGGTAAAAGGGTGGAGACTTGCCCAATGGAGGGCAATGGAGTTTGCACACGAAGTAGGAAACTGATCTTAGACCTTCCACGCCCATGCTCAATGCTCCCTGCTCCCCCTGGGTGGCTGCAGCCGCAGTGCCTGGGCCTTGCCCAGGTGGGAAATAGCTCGCGCAGGGAGCTGGTGTTTGAATGGGGGACACAGGCCTGTGTCTTCCCAACCACAGCAGCCTGCTGCTCCCAAGGCTTTGTGCAAGGTTTAGGGAGTAGGTAAGTTCTGGCAGTTTACCAAGATAAGGGCGGGCCACGTGGGCGCATGCCCAGGCAGCCTCGGGTCCACGAGTCCGGGGCCGCTGCAACAGAGTGGGCTGAGAGCCCTCCGGGGGCAGAGCCATGGCGGGGCTCCAGCACAAGGGCAGTTTCAGGGGGGTGACCCAGCCCAGCACGTACCATGTCATGGGCTGTGTTCCTTTTTCAATCTTACCTGTACTGTTTGTACCGTGTAGATTTTCTTCAGATTTGAGGCACACTCAGCCGCTGTGGCTCCAGGCAGGGATCTAAGTAAACATAAGCGAAAGGGCAAAGACACAGCAGGACAGGCAGTCAGTGCCCACGGGCTCCTCCGCAGTCTGCAGGCACTCATGCAGGGCAGGTACAGCCACAGGCCTGGGCATTCCTGGGACCTGTTTACAATTTAAGATGTGAAAGTCCTACTTTCTGAAGTCATGGGTTTGCTTTTCCTAAAAATAAACTTATTCTGTGGAAATATAGTAGGAAAAACAGAAATGTTTGTAAGAAAGGTCCTGGAAACCTTAAAATCACATTTTTAAAAATACTAAAATAACCTTGTAATGACCAAGCCTTTTGCCTAGGAATTTGGGTGGGAAACTGTGACTATGGCACAGGTGACAATGGAAATACAGGGTCCTGACCTGGTTATATGTTTGAAAAGCTTGTAAGCTCCCCTGTGGTAAATATTCATGAACTCCTGAGAAACAGAGTGACTTCTGCCAACGCTAGGAAAACATGACTACGAAAAGTCAACTTCAGCTTCCCTGGGCTTGCCTGCATTTACTTTCAGCTGTTTCCCTGGCTGACGTAATTAGCTCTGCTGGACTCACAGTCAGCATACATTAATTCTTAGTTTGCCTATGTTCCACTAGATGGCAACATACTACAGGTTTACACACTAGAAAAACCAGGCATGATTTCCTGGGAGGGGTAACACAACGGGGTCTCGTCCATCCTCAGGAGACCCTCAGCTGTAGACACCTCTCCTTCCTCCCTGTACTGAACAAGCAGTTCTTGCTAAAAAAACGGTGTCCGGCTACATCAGGCCTAAGATGAAAGTGCACCACTCAAAATAATGCTCCAAAACGCCACGTCTGTTTGTTAGTGAGACATAAGAGACTTGCTGAGAGGAGAGCGTGCTGGCTCGAGGCTGACCCACTGGGGTCTGGAACCTATAAAAGGGATGCTCTTTACAGCCGCTGACCCTCAGTCACAGTCCTGGACTTGACTTCCGGATGGTGAACTCCCTGGGTGGTCGTTAAGCTGCTGAACGTTGGAGATGTGCATAAAACCCACACAGCTCAGGCAGAGGGGATGGCAAAGCAAGGGCCCTGCCCAGCTGTGTGTGTATTT